TATGCGTCAACAGTGGTAACTTTTCTATGTTGTTCATATTTCATTATTTTTGAATATTTCGCTGCTGGTTTATAATCTTATGATAACCATACATTAAGACAATTTAATAACGGCGCGACAAGGGGTTTTCATTATTCGTTACCAAGCACAAACTTAATTATATTGTATCTGCTGCAGTTTGAAAATGTATAGGGTTCATTGTAAAAGCAGTGAAAAGCTGTATGGGTTAGAATAAAGTATTTTCAAAAGTCATCAAATCAATACCTTACGGGGACTGACTTCACAAATCGTGCCCTTTACAACTATAAATGTTCCTATAGATGATATTCTATGATAACCTCAGGTTCACAAAATATTCACACCTCTTTCTATGTTTAAAATTTAGAATTTGCCTCAAAGTTTTCGTACAACATCCCAATGGAATCCTGTAGAAAGATTTCTTACTGGTCAGTTATCTTGCAAACTTACATGTACTGAATCAGATGAACCCGAGACAGATAGTCTAGAGACGTTTACTCAACTTTCTTGCTTCATGCATCAAGGTAAGATTTTAATTATCGTCATTAAATTGAATCTTTTCAGTACATAAAATATATTTTATTTTATACAATGCTTAGTGTCTGGCAGCACGCTTAAAACCAGTATGTTCAGTTTTCTAAGTTAAAAGTCAATTATGTTACCGTACTTTATATTTATGTCTCGTATAAATTCTGGTATAATTGAGTACCAAAACTATCACTGATAAAAGGATAACAATAATAAATATTGAAGAGAAGGTTCCACGTTTTCCATCAAAAACAACCACACCAGTACTCAACACTGCCAGTTTAACGCTTTTCAACCTGTTTAAATCTAAATCAAAAATTACTAGTTTCATTGTCTAAGCTAATGCTGTTTAGTAACTAGATCATCTTACTAATTACGTTTAACGAGGCTAAATTAATGGGATTATGCTGAGTAAGATTCATTACATATATGATTTGTTAAATAGACGTGATGAGTAACTTACTAGGCTTAAGCTTATGATATTTATTCCAAACATTTCCAGTGAAATTGTTTCCTGAAATGGTACTCATTTGTCCGCTTGTAAACATGAAGGTAGTTGTTAACTGTCTAGAATTTTGCATGATACTAGATATGTTTAGAAGAGGTACCAGGTGCTGTTTCGCGATTGCTAAATCTACTATGTGCATGTTGAAGTGGTTAAATGATGATATCGAAGCTCCTATTAATTTTCCTATGTATGAATGATTCTTAACGCCAAATCTATTTGATTCCCATCAAAATAGATTGCTTTGATTTATATAATATTATTTGTTAATTACTGCAGATGTAAAATATTTGCTCACTGGTATTCGAAATGGATTAACGGGAAATCTAACTAAGCATTCATCTTTGCTGGATCGAAATGCAGTTTATAAACGTCTATCTCTTATTAGTCGGCTTCCAGCTTACTTATGTATTCATTTTGTTCGCTTCTTCTACAAGGAAGATAAACAGATTAATGCTAAGGTACGTCAGTAAGTGTATTGTAATAATGGCTATAAATGTCCGGTTTATGTATAAATTACAACTTTAATGGAAAACGAATAATTACTGTTGCCAGTCCGAAATGTTCCTGCCTGGAGATAACTAACAGTCATGTTCGTAGAAAATACTCGGAGATCCTCTCTAAATTATCCCGTTGTATTAGCTGCAAATTCTGATTATTGTGTTACGTATATTTCAGCTTTGTGGTTCGTCAATTTAAACTAACTACATTTTTTATAATAAAAGTTGTTGATCTCAAAAGACAGTTTTCGTATAAAATTGACGCTTATGAAAATCCTTGTGATGCAAAGTAAAAGGTCTGAGGAGCGTCGTTGGTACATTTTTACTAAAAGATGTATCTCGTAGTTCCAAATGATCAATCTTTATTCTGAAGGTCGTAAAGCTTTTAAAAAATTCGTGATACTATTATGTGTATTATTTTATAGATTTTAAAGGATGTGAAATTTCCACTAACATTGGATATGCACGAATTTTGTACGCCTGAGTTGCAGCAAAAATTACTACCCATGCGTGAAAAACAGCGCCTCAAAGAAGATGAAGTGGTTAATCCCTCAAGTCAAAAAAATACTTTCAAAAGTAAACCAGGTTTGTATTACTGATGAGTGGTTATGTAACGTAATTTTAAACGTTGTTTTAACGTTACGTTATTTTTGGGTTTTATTATTTATAGACAATAAAAGCAAGTAAGTTTTTTTAAGACTTTCGAAGTTCGAAAAAGTAGCAACGGTCATCGTTCAAAGAGCATATACTAAATCCGACTGACAAAGCCATCACTTAGTTATTTTTAGGGTAAGTATAATATTTGTTGCGACTACACTGAATGTTTTCCAGTGAACGCTGTCTACATGACAAGTGAAACAAAACGGTGAAATTTCCAACAATGATATGTTGACTAAATTTAATACTTTTCAGAAACAATACTCCAAGTGTGATCAACACTAAGACAGATATAAACGATGACAGTCGGCAAATAATAATGATAGGGTGATGTTCTTAGAACATATCCGAGTCATCGAACTCAGTATATCAAGATGACGACCAATATTAAAATATGGTGAGATACATTCCTGAACCTTGTAATTAACAACATGGTTTATCTATAGGTTCAGGACAACTAAACAGCGACCGGACATTCAGTTTATCAGGCGTCCCAGTTTTACAACCGTAGGTCAGAACTATTTTTGGTGATTGCAATTGCCAGATAAATATTACGAATGCCATAAGTTAACTAAAAGTGGGTTTAGCCAAATGTTCCACCTGTGATGATTTCAAATATTTACGGATATGTTCATATTCACGTAAACTAATTCATTGATACATTTCTTCCAGATTCTGTACGACCTGATCCATTCCAAAATCCTGACTTGTACGAACCTAACTTTTTCGCTGATGATCCCGGTTCGAATAACTCTGGGTACTACGATCTTCAAGGTGTTTTGAGCCACCAAGGTAGGACAAGTACCAGTGGGCATTATGTTGCTTGGGTGAAAAAACAAGGTATGCTTTACGAGGTATAAGCATGTAATAAGTATTTCATATTTCAAAATCTTTTCATAAAGACAGGTAGACTAAACGAAAAATGAATTTAGATCAGCAAGAAACGTTGCACACAAGATATCCAGACAGCAAAATGGCCACTAATATTCAAACCACTTTCAAGGTTGTTACAAACAATACCTGATCATCAGTCTTCTATGATTTTCGTTTAATTACACCCCCCAATTAGTGTAAGCATAAACTGGAATCTAGCACGTCATACCTAACATTTTAGATCTCATGAACCCTTGTATCTGTACTATTCCTTGTCATTCTAGACTAGCTAGACATTTATTCTAGAATAAACTACAATTTTTTGGCAAAACATTCGAACTCCTCAGTAAAAATTTCGATACTCATTAAGCATATGTTAAACCTAGTTCTAATACATTTTTAAGGAATGACACCATATAATTCATTGTCTCTTTAAGCTCATAGAGAACAGAGTATTAAAGAATCTTGATTATTATCAGCCGCAAACATATTCTAAACATCATATACATTTCCCTTAGCAGAATGTTGGGTTGTTTGAATGACACTTTTCAAAAACCTTTATGCACTCTACATGATTCATTGTAGAAAAAATAATTTGGTGTCACTATAAGCAGCTGTTTGTCAAGCAAGTTCATATTAAACTGCAAATAAAAAACAACTACCATTTTGCTCCTAAAATTCATGTTCCACTTTTTATTCATTTTAATCACTATGTAGGAATGTGGTTTAAATTTGATGACGATCGTGTCAGCCAAGTGACCTCAGAAGATATTTTGCGCTTATCTGGAGGGGGTGATTGGCATTGTGCATATATTCTGTTATATGGGCCTCATTTCATAGAGAAGAATGCATGTGTGGATCCTTCTGGGAGTACCGTATGAAGTTCATAAATGCACAGCCTAGATAAATTGACAATTTCTGTTGAATAAACCCGTTTTTTTAAACCTGAAATTTTTATAGAACGCCGTTCGTTATGAACGTTTGTCATTATTTTCTTTTCATGAAATTGTGATAATTTGTCTTATAAAATCGCCGTGTTTGCTAGTTGTTAATGTTTTTCAGCTCTTATAACCATCCAGACTTCTGAGCGACTCAATTAACTGCGAAATCGCTTTTCTTGATTCAGCATTGTTTGTGTGGTCAGAAATTTGGCAAATAAAATATGCTGTTGGGCTTTCATTATTGTTTGTTTATCGACTGGTATAGAATATTCGACATCGGATTAATCACCACTGAGCTATGTGATAAATAATTAGCTAACATGTACTGTCATTTAAAATTTAGTCGAAATGCACAAATCTTCAAATAAGCATAATTGTGAGCAAAAGAATTCGCTAAGCATTAGGTTTTGTCATCCAAAAATGTTTCGTGAATCGAGCGGTGCATTATACGCTTATAAATATTATTCTTTGAAAAGCAGTATTCACCTTTCGGTCAGATGCTTCCACGTCTTAATGTACACAAACCTGCATAAGTCTAACATCTGTACGAGAAGAAACTGGCAGTTCACCTGGTCTCTGAGATGAAATTATAAAAGCAGTTTATTTATTTTAAATTGTATATAACTATTTGAAAAGTGCAAGATCCACGATTTTAACGCATAAATATGCATTCTTTTTTTGTCAACTGCTAGCTAACTTTGCGATGAAAATAAACTTCATTATCACTTAAATTCAACAGGGAAGCTGTTCCGAAAATGTTTTCTGTATTCCACTTGATTGATTTGATGAGTGGTACTAATTCTTTCATACGCCGAGTTTAGACAAATTGGTTTCTAAAAGTTTAACCGTCTGAGTCGAGATTCTTATCATCTGGCCACAAGGATGTTGCTAATTATCCATCCTTCTTGATAGATAGTCTGACTTCCCTTAGCTATCTTTGTCAAATGGTACACAAGGTTTCATGTAAAAGACCCAAAATTGGTCAAGTTAGTTTTTGTATTTGTAACCTATTATTATAATCACAGTGAAATGAAAGAGTTAAACTATACAATAATCAATAATAAAGTGAGCCATAAAATTTGGAAAGTCAATATAAAATTCCATTTTTGACAGGTCATTACACTATGTACAATTGTTCGGTCTCCGAATGTGTCAGGTTATTTTTAGAAATAAACTAGATTTAGCTTCAAAAAATAACTACAAACGTACAGTTTCTATAACGAAGTGAACGGCAGTCGCTGAATTATTTTGCACGATGCGGAAGATAGGCATCTATGGTTTGTGATATCTATAAAAATACAAATGAGGATTGTTTATATAATGGATAAACTACGGTAGTTATCGTAACGTAAAACACATGTTAGTTTATAATACTAACCGTTTCTACACATTCTGTGTTAAGTATAAACCTCAATATGTAATGGTGGACTATTGGTAAAAAGGGAATCGACATAAAAGATTTAGAGAATCTTGAGGGAGATCGAATCAGGTTTAGAAGACAAATACAAGTTAAAATAAGTAGTTTCATACACATAGTTCCCTTTATTATTTTAAAGAGAGTAAGAACAAAGGTTGGTGCAGAATAATATGAATTCATTTTATTTCGTTAGGTTCTCATCAGCTGCTTACAACCTAAAATATTTGAAATTCAACATTATTACAGATATTGACATACTTATACAACAGAGGGCGATGAAGGATGAATATATGTAACATAATGTGGTAAAGATTTCGTTAGAGTGATTGAGGTCATAAAATTTTTGTTTCGAATATATAGAGTTTGGGAGGGAAGGTTCCAGAAAATTGAAATAGTGATTAGAAATCATGGAATTAAAACACATTAGACGATTATGTAATGAAGTAACTGAAAATAGATTAATGTTAATAAAGAGAGATATGAATTGAAATTGGTCAGTTATGAGTGATGTAATTATAAAATTCAGAAAGAGTTGAAATGACGTGATAAAAATAAAAGGGGGTGGGGTGAATGTTACCAGGGCAAAGAAAGATTTATTACTGTTTCTTTTTGTATACAAAGATCTGGTTTTAAACGTTTGATTGCTATTGCTTCCGCGAATTTCAAAAGGTTTGAGTTTGATTGTTTGTTGATCACCCTGAAGGACTTCAGTATATCGACTTCGTGTCCTGTGTCAATGAGATGTCTTGCGACAGCGCTGCTAAATGCTTTTAGTCCGTTTGATCTCAAACTGTTCGGAATATGTTCTTTGAATCGGACGTAGGCTCTCCTTTCTGTTCTACCAATGTAACTGCTTTGGCAGATACATGTAAATTTGTATACACAGTTGGTGGTAACATGAAAGGGATACCTGTCGACCTTTGATTGTGTCAAACAACATGTCGTTTTGGACAGGACAATCAATTTAGCTGCAGGATATGTTTTTGTCAGTGCAGTTTTTAGTCTCATATTGATCGATCCTGTGACATTATCGCCTTTGAATTGAAGTTGAATAAAAACAGGTTTTTTATTTACTGTAGTTTCTTTGGGTATTTTATCCTCACGTTTTCCATATTTCTCAATGAATTTCAATGGGTATCCGTTATTTCTTAAACACTTTTTAACATTCATAATTTCCTCTTCTATTGTATCTGCAGTGCATATTCTTTCTGTCCTATGAAACAGTGTTTTAACAAGCGCCTTTTTATAATTGATTGGACAAAAGCTGTTGAAATTGAGATAACTACCATTCCATGTGTCTTTCTTATAAACTGAGCGTTGAACTGTGCCATCCTTTCTTCGTTTTATCGCTATATCGAGGAAATGGAACATGTTTTCTTTTTCATGTTCCATAGTGAAATGAATATTTGGATGAGCTTCATTGAAAAACTTTAACAGATTTGTTGCATGTTGTTGATTATTACATAAGATGAATGTATCATCAACATACCTCGAATAATACATCATTTCATCAATCGCTCCTTTGAGCTTGGTTCTTTCGAGGTTAGCCATGAAAATGTCTGTTAGGACGGGGCCTAACGGACTTCCCATTGCTACACCATCGGTTTGTCGGTATATAGTATTGTTGAACTGGAACTGAACATCTTTTGTACACAAGAGTAATAGGAACAACTTTGTTTTGGCTTCCCTGAAAATTCCCTCTACAATCTGTCAACAGTGAAGTTAAATCAGATAGAAACAGAAGCCTTGTCTCTTGGATTTAAATTTCATATCCCCAAAACACATGCCGAAAGAATGGACACAGAAACTCAATTTGAGAATTTATTTGATCAAATTAAAGAGTTGCACCCAGTTAGCGAAGAAAAGAAAGGCTGATTTAAATCTAAACTAGTCGATATCGCAAACCAATACCTCGTCTCACCCACACCGCAATCCCAGCTTTTATCCAAAGAACACCTAACAGCACTACGAAATATTAAACGAAATAATGATAGAATGATATTACGGTCAGATAAAGGTTCAAGTGTTGTCCTAATGAACACAACAGATTATGTCTCTAAGGTGAATTCCATTTTGAGTGACCACACGAGATTCAAGTTGGAAAAAAGTAACAAAGACTTAACTGACTCCACCGAGAAAAGAATCACGAAAGTACTCAGAGACCTACTGAAAAAGATGATCGACAATTCTACTTACAATAACCTACGACCTCGTGGGTCTCGTTTGCCCCACATGCATGGTCTACCGAAAATACATAAACAAGATAATCCTCTTAGACCTATTATGTCAATGATCAATTCACCATACCACAAAGTTGCAAGATGGCTGGCAGATAAATTAGAACCACTTCGTCAACGATTATACACTGAAGGATTCATTTGTATTTGCTGATAGCATGAATCACATGAATATTGCTGGTAAGTTTATGGTTTCGTTTGATGTGACATCATTGTTTACAAAAATACCACTTCTTGAAACCATAGACATAATTTTTCAACATCCTGATATCCTACCTCTACCAGCAATAGAATTCAAACGTCCATTACTCTTGTGTACAAAAGATGTTCAGTTCCAGTTCAACAATACTATATACCGACAAACCGATGGTGTAGCAATGGGAAGTCCGTTAGGCCCCGTCCTAACAGACATTTTCATGGCTAACCTCGAAAGAACCAAGCTCAAAGGAGCGATTGATGAAATGATGTATTATTCGAGGTATGTTGATGATACATTCATCTTATGTAATAATCAACAACATGCAACAAATCTGTTAAAGTTTTTCAATGAAGCTCATCCAAATATTCATTTCACTATGGAACATGAAAAAGAAAACATGTTCCATTTCCTCGATATAGCGATAAAACGAAGAAAGGATGGCACAGTTCAACGCTCAGTTTATAAGAAAGACACATGGAATGGTAGTTATCTCAATTTCAACAGCTTTTGTCCAATCAATTATAAAAAGGCGCTTGTTAAAACACTGTTTCATAGGACAGAAAGAATATGCACTGCAGATACAATAGAAGAGGAAATTATGAATGTTAAAAAGTGTTTAAGAAATAACGGATACCCATTGAAATTCATTGAGAAATATGGAAAACGTGAGGATAAAATACCCAAAGAAACTACAGTAAATAAAAAACCTGTTTTTATTCAACTTCAATTCAAAGGCGATAATGTCACAGGATCGATCAATATGAGACTAAAAACTGCACTGACAAAAACATATCCTGCAGCTAAATTGATTGTCCTGTCCAAAACGACATGTTCTTTGACACAATCAAAGGTCGACAGGTATCCCTTTCATGTTACCACCAACTGTGTATACAAATTTACATGTATCTGCCAAAGCAGTTACATTGGTAGAACAGAAAGGAGAGCCTACGTCCGATTCAAAGAACATATTCCGAACAGTTTGAGATCAAACGGACTAAAAGCATTTAGCAGCGCTGTCGCAAGACATCTCATTGACACAGGACACGAAGTCGATATACTGAAGTCCTTCAGGGTGATCAACAAACAATCAAACTCAAACCTTTTGAAATTCGCGGAAGCAATAGCAATCAAACGTTTAAAACCAGATCTTTGTATACAAAAAGAAACAGTAATAAATCTTTCTTTGCCCTGGTAACATTCACCCCACCCCCTTTTATTTTTATCACGTCATTTCAACTCTTTCTGAATTTTATAATTACATCACTCATAACTGACCAATTTCAATTCATATCTCTCTTTATTAACATTAATCTATTTTCAGTTACTTCATTACATAATCGTCTAATGTGTTTTAATTCCATGATTTCTAATCACTATTTCAATTTTCTGGAACCTTCCCTCCCAAACTCTATATATTCGAAACAAAAATTTTATGACCTCAATCACTCTAACGAAATCTTTACCACATTATGTTACATATATTCATCCTTCATCGCCCTCTGTTGTATAAGTATGTCAATATCTGTAATAATGTTGAATTTCAAATATTTTAGGTTGTAAGCAGCTGATGAGAACCTAACGAAATAAAATGAATTCATATTATTCTGCACCAACCTTTGTTCTTACTCTCTTTAAAATAAGTAGCTCATCAGATCGTAACTCATGCACGATCAGAAGATATCTTTTTTGGTTTGCTTTTAGAAAAAATTCGCAAGTAGATTGCACATCACTTTAATCAAGGTGTTAAACTCTTCTGGCATTCGTGTTTACACAACTTTTATTACAGGCATTGATGTCTGCATTATGGTTTTGAAAATATCTTTTATCTTTGCGTGAGTTCATGCTCATCTCTATTGTAGTTACTCATCTTAATATAAATACGTCAAAACAAAACTGCTAGATTTGTGTTTATCAGATTACACAGTGGCGTGTGTACCGTAGTTACAATCTTGCCTAGCTAACAACTATATTTCTTAGCTGCTATGAATGAACGGAAGCCACTATTATTTATATGTATGGGAACACCAAATCATTGGATCTGTGTTGGTGCAATGGTAGCTAAAATTGATGGAAATATATTACAAAACAGAATAAAATTTGCTAGCAAATTAATACTCACCGAGTGTGATGTCGACTATCAGCATGAACATCCATTTCAGTTGCTTTGAATTCGTTTAATTCTTTTCTAATATCAGCCTAGAAATAATGTTTAGACGGTTATATCATATTATTGATTTTACATTTACGGTTATGAAACGACTCCTAATTTGTTATTTGATAAAAGGATATCCACCAAAATGTACTTTCTAGCTCTACAGCTTGCAAAGTTTTTCGATAAGTTTGGTTGTGTCTCTCATTCCGATATAAGAATGTCGTGAGTGTTAAAGCGAAATGTTAATCGTTGCTACTAGGTATGTATAATAGTGAAGAACACTATTAAATCTAACAGTTTGTAGTATCAGAAATGTATATATAAGGTTAAACTACAAGTACTTTTTCGAGTTATAACTGACGAACAAAGCATAGAACGGAGTGAGTTTTAGCCTGAGTGAATATATGTTGACAGTTTATGATTTTTTCGCATATGTCGGCATGATACGTTTCACTCACTTCACTAACCACCATCTGAGATTTGATAATTTTTTTATAATTGCCATAAAATAGCACGAAAATATTCTCTTACAGAATTCCATTATCTAAATTTTGTTATAATATGTAAATGAATAAGTTCTGAAACCTTTCAGTAATAAGGGATTAGTAACCCATTTAGTCGCAATCTAGAAGTGTTAGCGTATATTGTTTAGGAAATAAGGTATATTGTGTTGTTGCTAAGGGTTTGGTGGCAAGAATTAAAAAAAGTAGTGTTAGCTGCTACTTTATCTATTAGTAAAACTACCGATTCACCCTTGATTTGAATAAATAATAAGTGAATTAACAGTGTACGTAGCATGAAGTTTTGTAATGAAAATAAACGTTCACTGTATTGTAATTCGTTGGTTCGACGAGATCGCTTACCATTTGCAGCATGAAACACATGATTATGGTAAAGGTGCATTTAGAAAATACTAATGGTTAGCTTTCTCCAGATAAAAATTGCAGGAACTTACTTTATCACGTAGAGTTAGACGAGTCCATGGTTTATCAGCTCGACGATCATAGGCATCTGCTTCACTAACTTCAACATAATCATTAAAACGAATAATTTTACGTCGACGCAGCTCTTCAACAGTTGGTCGAAATGATAGCTGAAAACGAAATTTTTAGCCGTAATTAGAAGAAAATTACCTATAGCTAATACGTTCATCATAGAGATCGGTCAGGCTCGGACAGTAGTAGTATATCACTCGTGTCTTTTATCTATCACACAAAATTTTCATCAAACAATGTCTCATAACAAGAAGCAAGCTTCATTTGATGTTTGCAATTGCTAATGAAAATTTATACGCAAATCGCTCCGAGCAAGACTCATACCTCTGATCATCCATTGTAACTACATCACGGTTAAAAACGTCATGAAAGTATGAAACAATTTTGAAGAAAATGTCCCTGTGACAATGAAAAAGAATGATTTCAATGCTCGAGCCTGCAGAGGTAGACCTTAAAAACAACACGACGTCGCTTGCTCCATGGATTCTCAGAACTAAGGTTTGGAAAATATGTAAATGACAAAAATGCTATGTAATTAACGGTATGTTAATGGCTCCAAGCAGCATTCTTATATGTCATATACTCACTTTACGGTCAATCTCAATCAAAAGCCAAATACTCAGGAATAATATTTATACCAGGTAATTTTAGTACACAACTAGATGACTTGTAAGGTTGAAAGATACAGGTAGGGAATTCGGTGTTACAGTTCAGCAGACAGTGACAGTCAGTTATATCAAAAGAACCTTTCATCCTAAAAAGCACCGATTTCACACATAGCAAAATATTTAGTGAACGCAATGGGAAAATTTGGATATAGGAAAATATCAAGCATTTGTTTCTTCTGCTAAATAAACATTACTTGAAGACTGATATTTATAGATCTCGAATTTAAGAGACAAGAGTTCGACCAAGATTACTTAATGACTATTCCTCCACATCCAACCTACTATCTGAAGTTCAATCTTGGGATGAAGAATTACGTATGACTTACATTAAAGTCTGTGCGGTCATCCTGTCATCAATATTTTACAGATGCAATAAAATAATCGTTATCAAAAAACATCATTGCTAATTAGGTATCGTAGCTTTTATTATAAGGTGCACAAAAATAGTAATAAAAATCACATGGTAGATTAAAGATATATATGACAAATTGAGTTGATAATTCAGTGAATTTTACGCACATGACTCCATACACTGAGTGCATGTAAATGACCTAGTGTTTAAATGTAAGATAATTATACGAAATTAACATGTCAAGAAGTCATTGAAATAAAAAATTACTTTAAGTTGAAATTTTTGTTGTGAAACATACAAGGCTGACCAATGTTGATAAATTACACTCGTTTTCTAGAAGTTACGTGCAATAATTGCCGACTAGTTACCTATGACTGAAATAAGTGTAAGCGAAGTCTGAGTACGCTTTTTTTTAATAAATTAGGTTTTGTTTCCAGTAACAAACTAGTCAACAAGAAACAATTTAATGATGGACGGACATTAATATTCTACTTTCGAAGCATCCTATGGACTGAATACAAAACAGTCAGTTTACTTGATTAGTTACCTAGTTTAATTCCGCTGAGGAAGTACTTAGGAAAGCTAATTGATTGGTGAGGAAGTGAAACATTAACGACCGAGATAGTTAGGACATGTATTACGCATGGCTATTCTCAATGTGCCGCCATGGCTGTTGTTAGAGTAGGTTGTAAGTTTGCTGGGGGTAGCCAAACCAAGCCATAGGTCCAATTCATGAAGATACTGACTGTTGGACTGAACAGCGTAGGTAGGTTCAAACTACGTAGTAGGGGTTCATGTGATTATCGTAACTAATAGTGACATGGCTGAAATCGCAATGGCGCAAGTGAATTCAATCTTTGTCGAACATAGTTTTATGATCATTTATTTACCAGAGGCAAATAATAAAGAAATTTGATATTGGCAGTTTAGGATAACACGTATCTGAAGTTAGAGATATCAGATATTTACAAATTATCTTAAATTGAACAATGGGAACAAACTATGGGATAATGACACTAAAAAGTTAGAATATTCAAAAACTGAGCCGAGTCCTATTTATTAATCACTTAGCAAAATTATATTAGGGACTGCAAGTCAGATGATAATATAGTTGTTTTTTATCGAGAAGCATTAAAAAGGAGAGACTACAATATTATCACCTAATTCTTCGCAGACATTTATCAGTTGTCAGATTAACCTACTGTAAGAAGGACAGAGATTAAGGGGTTTATTTGTACTTAAACACTATAATAAGCCGGTTCTTTGTTTGAAATATGAATCTGAACAGAGAGTACCTAATAGTTTCACATGAGATTACTAAACAAATTAATATTTTTATTACTATGATTGAAAATAAATGCTTTCGACTTGTCACAAACACCTAAACTTGAACACATATAAACACGTCTAATATGAACTTTTGTCAAATGAAGCAAGAATGAGTAAGATTCTTAGTTTTAAAATCATTCTATCCAATTCAATTACAAACAAAAAGTTCTAGGTTTCGAAAAAACAATACATATATATAGAATTAATATTTTGTTACTTTGTGGACACTTAAGAGAATTTAGAGAAGGAAGGGACATCTTTTTTTCACAGAAAAGAGAAGCGAACAAATATTTCTGATAAACCATTGACAAAATGTATTAACTCCATATCAACTAAACTAGATAAATTAACGTGGAATCCAGCAGAATCCAGCAGAAAGACGAAACATTTTATAATTACCTGTCAAATAATAAGAATTATTTTATATTCGATTACAATAAAAAATAGTTTCATTAATGTTATACTTGTGTTTAGATAATTCAGTTAACAAATACAAACAGAAAAAATACTTAAAGTATTAAATGCAACGTGTAAAGCATATATGTCACCTAAAGTTGGAATTATACAGAAAGCAAGCAGTTGTATTAATGTAATTTATACCAGTTACCTAAATATAATGCGTTATTATTAAGGGGTGATGAGGTCGAAGATAATTTAGGAATGAATTTTGTAGTCATATGGAAAAGATTTCAACGACCAAGTATTGATAAAATGATAAATTAGATTGTTTTTGTAACCACATAATATTCTTATTAAACAAGTATCAATACTAAGGTTGGACATAATAGTTTCGAATAAATTGAACATTGGCTAGCGAGTTAATAATAAATATATTTTTGTTATATCTCAATGAGTTAAATTGTATTTCTGACGTTTAGTGACTTAATGTAAGACATTTCGTCAGAAGCAATTAACACGAGTTCAAAGCGTGTTTTAATTTAATGTCGGCTATTTATTAACTCCGAAGAAGTAGCTTAGATAAAGCCACGAAACGTTAGAAGTACAATTTTTCTACTTATCGGGATATAACAAAAATATATTTATAATACTTGTTAAACATTGAAGAGAAGTGGGTAGAAAGTTGTATAACAGGGTATCGGACACTGAGAACATAAATTCTATGCAAAGGTGTTGAATCGAATTTTAAAACAACTTATTCTGAAGAAACAATGCATAAAACGATTAGAGCACTTTTACTAGCAATTCTATGAGCTGATTAAGCAGCCATTTTTCATTGAACTTACAGACATACACGTATCTCTTCTTTACTTTGTGTCCGGATTATTGTTATTCTTTATAAGCAAGAAACTTTAACACAACATAACTGACAAGTATGTATTTAAATAAAAGTAATTCAGTGAAGAAAATTCTCTTTTTTAATTTTATCACTTTTTCAGCTTGCCTACAAAAGAACAAGTCAGGAGGGGTCAAGTGATGATTTCATCACAACTCCATCAGTTCGTCCACAGAAAGCATTATTAAATCTAAATTGTACGTAGAGAGTACATTTCAGAAGTAGCTTTCCTTGCTAGTATCACGGAGAAGCAAATATCAAGGTTGTTTTTCTCGTTATAGTCATACAAAAACATATGGTCTCCACAAAATAAACATGTAGAGAGTGAAAAAACTTGGATGAATCCATAGTATTGCATACAATGTTATCACATCGGAAGGGTTGAAAGATTTATGCTAACCCCTCAGTAATTAATAATTGGTAAGAAAAGTTATTCATTTTCATGGGAAATAAAAGAAAATTCTTAAAAAATTTGAAAGGATTTTCGTAGAGTTCGAAGTTGATGACAGAGTCATCTTTCAAGAGGCTCCTTCAGAGAATTTGTCAGCATCTGATAAGATGGAAAATCTGCCCGGAGACATCTAGGGTTACTACCAGTAATGAGCTCGGTTAAACGAAAAATGATGGATAGTGTTATCAACAATACCTCGTCAAAAAACGCAAACAAGAAGAAATCATCTAAACCCTTTAAACTCTGCCCTGTGAAGAAAAGGGTTTCGTCAAACAGAAAATTTATGATGTGTCATGATGAAAGTCAAGATTCTTCGGGAACCACAAGACTGATGAGCATTCTGACAACCGAAGCAACAACCTCTGTAGGTACGTGGAATGTTCAAATAACCGCCGACATGAGTACAAACTGACTCTGCTTCAAATAAATGAAGCCCATTAAACACAACATGGACAGATAAGACTGACTTCGGCAGAGGTGTTATTATATTCCGATTACGGAGAAAATGCCGTAGACAAAGATTTGCTTTGACGCTGTCCAAAGAAGCACGAAAAGTACTACTGGATGGAAAATTCAAGCAACCTTTAAGACGAAGAAGTTAGGGATCATAATGCATGTAGTTAAGTACTGCACCCACCGACAATATCATCTAAGATTATAACGACCGCTTTTCCCCGTCATTACAGTTGATTGTGGAGAAATACTCAGGAAAACCCTGATCATCTTGATAAAGGGACTAAATACGAGCAGTCTCTTATCTTCAAAAGACTTAACACCCCTTGAAGGACACTTTTCTTTACATGACATCTTACTTATGAACATGTAATCAGATGTTATTACCCTCTCAAAATTCTTCATAATTATTATTCAACTATTGATATTACCTCTATGTCCTTCCTTTTTTCCTCATATCTATCCCCCATATTTTTGTTCTGCAAATTATTCTCGTCTTGCTATGTTCCTTTAACATATAGATCATTACACAACCTTTATTTGACACTTACAAACCGCCAAACACTGTGATAAATGTGCGTTTTTTTATTTTTTCTGCAGATGCATACATTTATTAATTCACTGCGATTGCATAGCCTTAGTACATGATATTGTCGAAAAGAGAATTATCTTCGCAGAAATACCTTTATACTTTCTTCAATGACACAATGGGTTTCTTTTGTTATTTGAATATATATATATTTGTCTGATCATTAACTTGTATTTTTTCTATAAAATATTAACATTGGTAATAGACAGAGATTAACTTCAATGAAATTGGATTGACACAGTAAATAAATATTGTATTTCTATTTTACAACAGGAGAAACTGATATGTTCTAAAACGTTAAGATAAGCTGTGAGGGTTATCGTTTATATTAATGTCTTTTGTATTTTTTCCTGTGACGCTGTTAAAAATTCTCTTTTAATTTACCATTTTCCTTCAAACGTAGACCTAATAACTTATATTGAAACATATGCACGTACAATTAATAATGAATCAAACAAATAACAATGATAATAATTGTTTATTCGCAAGATTATCTATCCTTTGATTGGAAGATGTAAGAGAACTACGTGTCGTATGACTTACTGTGATAAAAAATCAATCCTGTATAATTGCGTCAGATGACTGTGATATGTTCTTCCTTACTGAGAGAAAGAAAATTCACGAGATAAGAGAATGATGATGATAGTAGAATTGGTAATGTGTGTAATGTATCAATTCTATTCATTTAAATTTAGGTTGATATCGAATGATGATTATTTATCAAAGAGAAACAATTCCAACTGTACTGCGAACAGTGCTTTCGTAATACGACTCAACTATTCCATATGACCTTAAACTGATCAAAATATTTTTTTAGCTTATTCAGGGATTGATATTATACATGTTTGGCATCTATGGATACCAGTAAGTTCAACTTTCAGTATGGACTATGCATAGAGAATGATGTTGGTTGGGATAAAAATGGATAAATTTCTTGATTTTCAGTATTGATAGACATAGTTTGCTTTAGAAGAAAAACAAAGACAAATAAGCGAAGAATATTTTATTTTTGATGTCACAATGGATTACTTTAACTATAGAATCCTTCATAAAATGTAATGCAGGCGCTTTATTAGATAGATTCCTATGCCATGATTTTCGTGACAACACTAGTTTCTTAATTTTTTTATTCACTTTACATCCCGAAAGCTAATAAATGCAATTCGGAATCAGAAATATATAAGCCCACCTGACATAAATATTTAAAAATGTTTTATGGAGAATAGTGTCTTTTGTGAAGAAATCTACTTCAGTCAACAACTACGATACTCCTGTAGTTCGGTTTTGTTGTTATTGCTTATTTATCTCAAGTACCTTGCCTTTATACGAAATAGTACCAGTGGTAAATAGGTAATAGGTCAGAACCACTTATAATGATCAGAAACTGCTTTTTATTAACTATGCAACCACGAACAACATTGAAAAAAGTACTGAAGTCGTCTAATCTAGCTCAAGTTATTTGTAATCAAGACAGAACCTTTTCGTCCATTTTAAATAACCATATTTTGTTTCCTAAGAAGACTACAAATACAGTTACTACTATTTCAACACTAGTTTTATATCTGGTCATAATAAGCTATTCTATATAAGCAAACATTTCGCACCTTTCGTTTATTCAAATAAAAAATCGAGTTAGGTTCAAAGCAAACTAGCAACACATATAAGAAGGATAGATGATCATTGGTTGTTTTTGCATGACACCATGAAAATGGTGAGTTAGGGTATTTTCGGCTTTACAAGTGCTCCACTTTTAAGCACTAGGTTTCTGCAGGTTCCTAACAACTCCTTGGGACCAGCGTTACTGGAGCCACCGAACATCGGAAGAGCACACACAAAACTACACATAAATGTTACACTAGCGACAGTCGGAGAAATTAGCAAGGAAATCAGACAAACCGAGTAAGGAATAGAGGAGGACGAAAAAGCAATCTAGCTGAAGCACTGCATTTAGATTTAGAGGTAACTGCAAGGATATTTCACATACATTTTCAGAAGGATTTGGTAGGAAAAACAATACCAACAGACTGGGAATAGGGATATCTCAGCAAGATTTCAAAGAAAGGTTTCAGTAAATGTGAAATAAATACAGGTGCTATCGTCAGTACCTGACAAAGTTCTCGACAGATTGTAGGTATATCGAACAAAAAACTAAGTAAATGTCAAAAGTCGAGATCGACAATCTGAGTTTTGTAAGGAAAGTCTAGTACAGAGCTGGTCGTAGATACCTCATCAGAAATCTATGACCCAGGAACAACAGTAGGGTTAAAATTTACTATAAATCATTTTAAAAATTTACTCATCCACGAGGTACTTTGGCATGAGCCAAACTCTAAATATGAGGGTCAATTAAACCACTCAGTTACCCAAACCAAAGTAGATGGAGGTGGGTTCGAAGCTGAATGTTAAATGCCTTAATCACTAAGCCACTGAGGAAAGTACTTATTGTTTATGAATGCTAGAGCAATTTTGTTTTCATGACGGATTGTAAAATGAAAATTTCTTATGATCAAATAATAACGGTGGAGATATACTTAGTTAACAAGCACTCGAAAATAGGACTATATATAACTGTATACCAAGAATTACATGATGACAAACGGAGGATGCCATGATTCGAGTCTTCAAAAAGCACTCGTATAAGCATAATTCAGAAACATGAGCATTTAGCTAAATTATTTTGATGGGGTTTTTTCTCTGAGTTGGTTGGTTTGGTCGTGGAGATTCCATCGTTCTTCTGAACGACATCATTAGCACAAAATTGAGGTAGAAGTGAAGTGTTCGAATTCCTCCACATGTGGCTCACAGCTTTACATCCACCTAAGCTACAGATCTTCTCCACCATCTCAGCTAAATTATTTTTGTCTTACATTCATTTCAGTCAAAGTCTCCAAGGGGTCAAACACTAGAACAAAATGAATCGAACCAACATACAAATCTCACTAAGTGTCAGGAACAAATTTTACGAGAAATTTAGTCTAAATTTTAACAAATAGTTAGGTTCTGAGTTTATGAAAGATGTTAAGAAGGAAATTATACTTGTGAACAATCTGAGTGGTTGAAATTCTAATATGGGCCCAATGTTTCTCTCGGTTGTCCAATCCAAGTTTCTTCAGTAGGAATAATCAAACATCAAAATTATCGAATATAAATGTTTTGTTCACAAACTGACTTTGAATTAAAAGAATTGTTCAATTACTAAGTTCATCAGATGGGTCGGATCCGCTGGCCTCAAACTATCATTTTTTTGACTGTTTGGTTAAAAGGAAACAACTTTTTGAAAATTAATATATTCCGAAAGCCAATACCTAGATTGCAGGTCACCACATGCCCTATCCACTAAGGTGAATTTCTAAGAATCTGCGACTCGTCACAGAACTGGAAGACGGATAAGCTGAGTAATATTTGGATTTTTCTACTTTGATGATGAATAATTATCCTATTGACTTTATAAGTAGAATTATTAATATATTAGGAAATATAAGCAAAAAAAGAATGCATTAAAGTGGTGATGGTCCCAAATCTCAAAGGAACCTGGGCAGAAATCAGAAGAATCCTGAATTATCACAATATAAGAGCATTTTTCCGAAGGAACAGTACTCTTAACTGTACACCAGCAAGTCAAAAACACAATATTAAGAGAAGAACAATTGTATTGTGTCTATGCGGTCAAATTTAATGACTAATGCTACATATATAGGTAAAACACCACAGCAGGTGAGTGTGAGAATGACGGGATACGGACTTTGCTTGAAGCATATTCCTAAATCCTTAGAACTTTAAAAACTAGAAAGCATTTAAGATGATAGCACTACATTCAACAGAATCTGAACATACGGTTGACTTCAATGGGACAAGAGTCCTTTACAAAGCTTTTGGTTAGTATAAAGGAAGTTTGACAACTGCGTATAAACGGAACCTCAAATGACATGAATAGAAGAGATGGAAAACAATTATCTGTACCACGGCAACTGGTAACTACCAAATAGATCTGAATTTGATCTAACTGTTGCTAATTCGTTTCATGTTTTGCAGACAACAACGGTATACTTTCATTTGTTCCAATCAGTTAATATGTTTGGATATAAAATGAACGACCAGCTCGTTCAGCATAATAACACAAACCTACATGAATTTATTATGAAAAGTTTAGTTGATTACAATATCTGTTAGATTGTTTAATTATATCAACGATCATAGGGTAAGGCCATATATATGGTTAATAATTTTTTTCTGACGTCAAATTTACGTACATACACATATACTACTTATCTTACCGAAATTTCTCTATAATTCACACCACATGACTGATACTTATACTGCAACAAACTCTCAGTATTATTAACAATGCTTAGACAATTTGTTTAGTACAAAATCAATTTGTAAACGCAATGTTTATATTCGATAATTTTGATGTTTGATTATTTCTACTGAAGAAAGATTAGACAGCTGAAAGAAACATTGGGTCCATATTTGAACTTCAACTGCTGAAATTGTTTACAAATATAACTTCCTTTCTAATGTTCATCAAGAAGAAATTTCAAAGTTCTGTAACAATATAAACAATATTTAGATTATAACAAGAATTCGATAGTCAAAAACCATTGTATGGGATACTCTTTCATACTAGAAAACATTCGACAAAAATATACAAGTAAAGTTTACCTTGCGAGTTAAAATTTGCTTTCGTTCTTCTTTAATCTTATTACGCACCTCTTCGGTGTCCACTGAAAGGCAAAGTAACAATTAACTTGGTCAGTGGAAGAGTAGTTAAGAAAACGAAAACATTTGTATGCATTCTTAATAACAGAATCCTTATTGAATAAACCGAATGTTTGGACAAACAAGTACATGAAAAGTCATGTTGATTGATTAGGATAAACATATTTAAAAGATAAAATTAGTGAGTATGTTTGAACATGTTACAGTAATGAAGACTAATTACTGACATAAACATAACATTCCAAATGAGTGTAAATATATAAATAAATATTAAAGTATAAATATTCGCCTAAGAGTTCAGACTAAAAGACGAGATCTCCACTGAGTCATTTGATCTGTTTACTAGTCATAGTTGTCAAATTTCTAAACAGTAGCAACATACATTATTAATGAATGTTATCAAACTATGAAGTACAGAGGTTTTTCGAACACCAATAGTTGGGCATGATTTACGCCAACGCGCATCTTCAAGTTAGATCCAAAAAAAGTGACGAGTCCCGCACGGAGACGAAACGACTTTTCAACGCCCTCTGTTTTCCAATGTTTGTCTAGTTAGAGTCTCTCTCTCTCTCTCTCTCTCTCTCTCTCTCTCTTATATATATATATATATATATATATATATATATATATATATATATATCCTATCAAGCATGAAAGTTCCTGTAATCAAAGACACATGAAAATTACCATGAAGGATGTTTTTCTGTTTCAATTCATCAGTTGTAGGACGTTGATTAAGTCGACGCTCAAGTGACGCTTCAATATCAATCCGCAGTTCAGTACGTGCTTCTAAAGTGGTACTGGGAATTATATTTTTAGATATCAGGTCTTCACGACAAGGTCTACAGGCTAAAAAGCGATTGATGCGATCAGCTCGCTTTGTCCACATATCTTTATGCGCTTGACGAGCCTTGATAAGTGAAGTGATAGTTTGGCAAGGTGCAGATAAATTGTAAGCATCTTCTTCATCACTATCAGAATTGTAAAAAACAAAACGACAATCTTTGCCAAAAGGATAAGCACGGTTAGATAAATGTGAGTATTTCAATGTCTGACTAATAGTAGGTATGGTCTCAGCTGCTTTCGTATCGTTGGTTGGACTTGGTGATGACGATGATAAATGAGTAATTTTTGAAGTTGACAAGATTGGTGAAGGATTGAATGTAATAATTTTAACCGAATCCGAAGAACAAATACCATCAGTTTCACATTCAGCCACTTTATTACGATCAATAAGAGTCGCGCACGTTTCAGCGGTAGAATTTTCAGGTTTTGGGAATTTACCATCCTTTTGAAAAGAATGCATGAAAGATTGTGAGTTTTTTGAGCATTTACTGAGAGATCTGTACATACACAACATTGAGTTTGGACAATGTTTCATATTATTGGAGGAAACGTAAAGATCCGAAGCTGGTGAGTCGCAATGGAGATTGTCCGTAGAATCTGATGAAAATACAGACTTAGAATATGTCTCAACGTTCACAAGACGTCCTACCAAATACAAATCTGATTTAGATATGGGCACAACCATCATATTGCAAGCGGGGGACGAAGTCTTCACATTTCTCTTATTGTAACAAACTGCATTTATTCTAAAAGCGTACAAGACAGTAATGCAATGAATAATGTACAAAGTATTATTTAAAAGGTACTGAGATACGGAGTATCGTAAACGATGAAGCATTGATTTAGGATTCTCTATCACATGAAGGTTAAGATATAGTAGAAATATCCAGTTAATTTAAAAACTCACACTACTTCTGTCAAGTGCTTAGACAGTTATGAATGATAGATAGATTACTATCCACAGAGTTCTAGAATTGGGCATCGAGGTGAGTGCGATAACATAATCAACATGATTGCGCGAATGAAGGCTTCAAACACTTAGAAAATTCTCAGAGTGATGTTGATAAGGACGTCTTCCAGCATGGCAGAAAGCATTGCAAACCATAGGATAGTAAGCAGTTTTGAGATTCTGAATACTGAAGTCATATTATTCCACATGAAATAAAGCTGCTTTCATTAAAATGAAGTCATTGTGAAAGCGACAGAGTCTTGAGGTTTGAGTAACCTATGGATAACATATAGAGGTCAATACGATGGTTTAAATACCTGAAGTATTAAGTGAAAATTTAGTCCCGCGCATATAAAAAATCATATTGAAAACCTTTTAATAACTCTAACAACCATATGGAAGCAGTGCTGAACGTAAATTACACTGAGTTAAATACCTCATCATAACCTATTCACTTGAAAATTTTCAGCGTTCAAAGTACTAGACTTTCAACAAATAGGACACTGATTTAAAGGTTATTCCCCTTCATATCTAAATAGTACTGTATCTAAATCTCAGAAGAAACAGTAAAATCTGAATGCTGGTACATTCACCTAACGAGTTCCAAGTAAGACAAGATGTACATCCCGGTTTCAAATACGTAAGAAAAACAATTGAGATCATAAAGCGATCTGAGTTAGACCACCAATGAAAGCCTAGAAGCACCGGATGGCCATATCATCCTAGCGTGTGACTCCTTAGGGGTGAGCATTCACGATCCCACACGCGTAAATCGAACCCAACACCTTCGATTTTGCACGCGAACGCTTAACACATAGACCACTGAGCCGGTATTCAGTGGTGTAAAAGTCTAATTTCAACCGGTCACTGGCATCGCACGAATATCTTCCACTGTATAAGGTAGGTAACTACCTCACACCCGACACGGATTAGTTTCATCGGTCACGGATTTTCACTAGAACTCCGGAAATTTCTTCTGACAGCTAGTCACTAGTAAGCACATTATGATATTCTGTATGGGGTTGTGAAGGTTATTGAATTTGATTGTTGGTGGTCTAACTAGGAACGGTTTATGATTTCAGTGAAATTCAACAATATCCACAACCCCATACCGAAAATTTGTAAGAAAAATTTTAATTTATAAAAGACCAATTATAGTCTATCAAAACAAAATTACCATTATGTTTCAGGAAAAACCCAGTATAATTATGACAACAGCATATAAATCATAATGACTTCAAAATGATTGTAATGATTGAGAATATTACTTGAATAATATTAGTCTAATTTTTTTATGAAAACATATAAACGAGCATATAACTTAGTTAAATATAAATTTACCATAATAAACAACCTAAAAAACTTGAAAAATAGTAAGAAAACAGTTTAATTACTTGGATTTATCGATATTTGTTTGGTTAGATATTTCAGAAATGCGGGTTAAAACATTTCGGCTAACCGGTGTCAATTGAGGATAGGTTACTTGGTGACTTGTTATATATTTTTTTATTCTATTTAACTTTTTAAGAGGTTGAGATGATTGAGTCATTAAGCGTTGCTTGATACTCGAAGCTAATTCAGTAGTCTGCTCTCCGACATAAGTATTCAATTCACTCATAGGATTATCGGCTTCGGTGAAGTGGGATTGAGTTACAGAAGTCTGAATAACATATCATAATCGAACCAAAAATAGGGCTTACAGAATAACAAGGACTAACATGTGGTTCAAGATGAACTATTGGAATAGAGCATTTTTCTGGTTGGTAGTTGCTTTCAAGAGAACATGATTCTAGAAAAAAAAAAAGAAAAGCACTCACATCGTATTATTCTACAGAATGTGATACATAACTAACAAGAACTTTTCACCGACGAGGAAACTTGATGATCATTTATTTGTTGTAAGTCAGTCACTGGGAACAAAAGTCCATATCAAACATCAACACGTAGATTCATGCAAAAGGTTGTGAACTTAATCTATTAGGTAAGGGTTACTGATACTTCGATATCTGAATAGATCGGTTTAGGAACCATGATATAATGGTAGAAAGTTGATTAACTAGACATGTGAGTTGAAGCTTATCAAAATTAACAAGTGGGAGAAGATAACACAAAGATAATTATCATTATTAGGCCCACTCAACTTATAATAAATTTTAGGAAGGTTGTATAAAGTATCTCTGCTGAGGAAACCACTATTTATATAAAGTTTTTCACCAGAAAGAGAAGCTCCTAATCAAGAGATTAGTTAACACCTCTTGAAATAAACCCTTTAAAAAAATACTTAGATCATTTTATTATGACAACTGAAAAGACGAAGTCATGCAAATTCTATTCACCAGAATCCTACATAATTCATCTTCAGCAGAGATTCAATCCAAAAACTTTTATGCACGTACAGCACATAAGTTGTAACAAATTATCAACAAAAAGCGACGTAATAATAGTGTAGTGAACGAGAACGCAAGTAGGGACAACCGAATGTATTTGAACACAGTTACATAACATCTTAGTAAAATTTAAGAACGATACAGTAAATACTTAATTTGCGAATTGTCAATCAATCGTCTCAGACTTCATTGTTTCTTCGCTTACACAGCAATTATTTTCTGTTCTTTTTCCTTTTTTCGCCGATCTTCTTAACCTTCTGCCGCCAGGCATTTCACTTTCGATTAATGATACATACTACTTATATCTGTCGACATCAGTAACACACATCACAATAGCATCAAGAGTACAAATATTATTACCAATATACCCAGTGTTATGATATAAAACTAATTGTAAAATCCAAGATTTTTTCATAAAAGGAAACTATGATTAGAAGGCAAAGCAGTACACTACAAATATATTTTTTCATATTAAATTATCAATGAACATGGGATAATACATTCAGCAAAAAAAAGTTATTCGCTTGTAAGAGTGCACAATAAATCTACAGTTTAACTCATAAGTGAACCCAATATAATACAATAAAACGAGTGTTTTAAGTTATCCAGCATGAACCAAAAAAATGTATTTTCTTTAGATTGAATTTTAACTCACAATAACAATATATAAAAATTATTTTTAAAAAATCCGACTAATAATAATGAAGTAACCGATTAACTCAGCTCGAAGAAGATTGACCGATTTAAGAGCTGGGTTAAACTAGTACAAGTATCTTGGGCTTTTATCACGACCTTATAAGAAGACTAAAATTATACATACCACGCGGTTTTTTAGGACCGTAAACTGATTATGTTGATGCGATTCTTCGCGAGCAAATTAATTAGTTAACATATTTAGTCAACATGACACTTTTCTAACGAAATGACACATATGAAAAACAATATTGAAGACAGATTCTCACTATAGTATATTGAAAACAAATACGAAAAGATATTATATATATATTGCCCTAGGTGACTAAAAGGATGCACATTTGATTGAAATTAACTGACAAGAATATGTTGTCTGTATACCCTTATGTTATGAATTTATGGTTATGATGAAAGAATTATTGTTTTTTGTCACAAGTAAATCAACGACAGATGATGTGGAGTCACTTAACTTGATCACCTCACAGCATATTCCCAAGTGATTGTATTTGCACACAGTTTCACCAATAACATTTACTAGTTTAGTACAATTCTGTTAAGAAACTCTGGGACAAGAATAGTTTAATGGGACAAAACATACCCTATATGTCGAGGAATAAAGTGAATTAAGGCCTGTTAAGTAATCATTTGTGTCATAATTTGACACAGAATGAAGATATAACCAGAAACTTTTTAGTTGAACTGGAAGGATATCTAGTACTCACTTGGGACTCAAAGACTTTTAATTCTAAAGTTTCAAATAATCTATCAAACAAGCAAATTCGTACTTGATCACTGTATGATCAAGGCTGACTTTCATACTTCAATTATCACTTTAATCTATATAATAATCCTCAGTCAATGATTTCCGGATAATACATACAACGAAATTTACTAGAAACGAATTTCGGAAAGATATCGAAAGCTGAAAGCAAAGAAATTGCTTATCCGATTAGCCATTTCAAGAATCAGGGAGAAACGTCTTGTCGTTCAAAAAAGGAGAACATTCAGAACGAGAAGAAATACAAGTCAGTATATTCATCAAGTTTTTTCATCTATGGGAGACGAATGTTTTCAGGATTTTGGGTAGGTTTTGTGATTTTAAACATATTCTAAGTATATTTGACAGAATCCTGAACTAAGACAGCTATTAAATTTAAAATAGGATAGATTCCCTAATACAGAGGCATGTCTTGTAATTTGTGTGGATTATACTTCACTTATATATTTATTAAAACTAATAAGGTTGCAAGTCAAAAGGGTGGTGAAAATTGAAAAAAAAATAATGTTCTTCCTGAAACATCCTGCAGTTTCATAAACTAAGGGTTAAATAAAAATTGTATGATATTGAAACGTGATAAATTGAGTTGTGACGTCCGGGAGAAGTAAATTCGATCACCGGCTGAAGTGTTGCAGTTCAACTTTAACTATTAGCAGTTTGAAACCAAGAAACATTTGCAACTGCAGTAGGAGTAAAATATCTTATTCTTAGACACGTGAGAAAGCAGGATTTAAAGCAGATTAGGGTTATAACTTCGTGTAGCTGTATGTTTTTGAGTAACTTACACAACATATTTCACTTTCACTTACTATACCAAAACTGTTTGATATTAAAAAATTAGTCATACAAGACAAAATTTCGACATATTAATTAGACAAAATAATAATAGTACAAACACATACAATTAAAATAACAGCGATTCCGCTCAAGATGGGAACGCTTAATGTCATGACCTCTACTGTACGGAAACACGTCGCTTAACATCGATGCTGCTTAAAAAGTATTATCATCGGATTCGAGTAGTCCTTTGTGGACAGAGATAGTACAATAGAGGCGTTAAACATATTCAGCGGAAAGATTTCACGCGCCACAAGAATAAAGGAAAAATGATTGAACAAAAGCGCTGAACATCAATTGTGTGATATCCTTAGTGTGATGGGTACAAGAGGTCTGCATGCTAATTAATGACACCTAATTTCCCATACATTTTTCTAAATGTCGCTCATGTCCTTGAGAACAGACACAGTAAACCATGAGATTAGATATCTTGCGGTGTTCTAGGACTAAAGCTTGTTTGTGCACATCCACCACAAAATGAACTAGGGTTCGTTGGCTGAGGAATTCGGTCGCAGTGGCTAAATGAGTGAGCTTGAAGTCATCCATACATCGTTTTTCACCTATTTGAGGACCTTCACTATGCCAAATTAAATTCAAAGTTTGGGTAAAGCTAAAATTCTTGATACCAGTAATTTATATGAGCTAAAGTAACTCATAAAAATTGACCAGACTCAATTACTTATTAGTGCATTGTAAATCCAGCTAATGGTCAACTGGGCTTTCTAGTAAATCAACAACACTGAAAATAGCTCGATATAAAGCTTGGTTTCATCGCTTGATGAGGTCTTGGAAGACGGCCTTGAGACAATAGATTCACTTAAAAACTTTAGCTAAAACTTCCTCTCATTTCATATTCATAATGTTGAGGATGGAAAGTCTCGTCTAAGATTGCTTTGATCACCAAGACACGGCACTTGTTTTAAAACTAGTTCCTTTTACGAGTTTTATTCGATGTCTATTTATATAGAGATACCGAATGAGAAAAAATTTGTACAGTGCATTGACACTATTAAGTCTTAGTTACAGGTACTTGCAAATAAAAAGATCTCATACCTTCTTAAAAAACAATTTCAAAGTATATATTTCCATTTATAACAAAAACATATACTGCGATACTTGTGAATTTTGAAGAAATCACTATCTGACATCAAAATAGATCTGATAAACATGATTGAGTAACTTCAAGGTAAAAATTCACTAAGTGGATTCTAAATAAATGAAACACTCAACTAGGATTTGAAGTACCAGTCCTTCAATAAAACGAAACTCAAAAGCACGATCAAAACGATTACAGTTCTTATTTGCATTCACTGTAATAATATTACAGATTTTTAAACAATAGTATGACTGGATTTAGTTCTTGAGAATTAAGAAACCTACTTAGAGCAGTTCTTGTTCAACTTTGTCCTCGACGTACTTTTAGAGATAACACTTGCCTCGTCTAAATTTCCAGGGGTTGAACTTCTACCGGGAGTTTCACTTGTTGATTTGGAATATGCCGATGACATAGTTTTATTTGGTGAAGACGCTTACAAAATTCCGAGTCTTCTGACCACTCTAAACAATAATGCAGGGATGTTCGGGATGCGATTCTCCCCCTCGAAATGCAAAATGTTGCTTCAGGACTGAGTGGCATTGGCACCCGAACTAATGATAAGGAGTGAAGTAGTTGAGTGTGTCGACTGCTTCACTTATCTTGGAAGTCTCATCAGCCCTTGTGGTCTGGTGTGTGACGAAATCTCAGCACGGATACAGAAGGCTCGACTAGCTTTTGCCAACTTGCGTCATTTATGGCGTAGGCTGGGACACTTGTTACGTATGCCCAACGACCGACTGCCTCGACGTGCTATGTTTTATGGTGTAGGAGTAGGTGAGAAGAAATCTAGGGGTGGCCAAACCAAAACATGGCACAAGTCCATGAAGTCACTGACAAGTGGACTGAGTCATGTTGGTAGGTGTAAACTACCTGGTTGGGGACCACGAGATGATAGCAACCGATGGTTAGAGACCCTGAATAACATGGCTCAAAATCGTTTGCAATGGCACAGGTGCATCCACTCTCTGTGTTCTCCCAAATTCTAATCTTCTGAATTCTTCATGTCCCTTTTTTCCTCTTTCCAAATTTATTTCACTGTATTATACTCTTTAAATAACATCTCCAAATACTAGTTTTCCTGATTACTGCTTATACTCTTATTACCTCTACCACTACGGGATTTGAATCGACCACTGCATCTCTGTGCTAATGTGGTGTGGCAACTCTAACTGATGAGATGGTGGAGAAGATTTGTAGCTCAGGTGGATGATTTTGGTGTACGTACGTACGAAGTTCTACGTTGTTATTGACTGACTGACTGACTTAAAGCAGTGACCAGAGTGCGATTCATGCGGTTTGTTGATGCTTGTGACGAGGCAAGAAGTTAACATACACCGTAATAAGTTTCTATGCATACTTACCATCAACTAGGAGTGAGCTCTTTTGAACTAAAACAAAAAGGCCAAATATTGTGAAACTTGAGTGAGCTGATAAAATTAAACTTAAGAGTCGAGGTATAATGTGAAGTACTAACCTGAATTGGAGCATGCGGAATCTGGGAGGATTTCAAGACCACCATTTGTGTTTAAATCAACCCTACAACTACCTACCAGTTCAGCAGAAGGCGAATGTTTATCCGGACGTTTCTTGCCATTTTGATTGAGACGCCTAAATGGACTAAGAAACATATGGGCCAAGCGTTTTTGCTTTGTAGAAATATTTGATACACGACTATCGGAATGAAAGACTGTGTGCGCTGCCATAGTCTAGTAAAGAGAAACAGTAACGCTACTTTCGTAAATAGATACTAGGTCGCTTTTTATGTCCAATTTATTTGTGAAATGACTTCGGTGTACCTATTCATGATCTAAAGATAATGTTTGACTGATCACATTTAGCCAAGGTTTGTCAGTGAAATCAATGATATCATCATTAGTTGTAAAGAACTATTTATTTCAAGTATTTGGGAGGCAGGGTGTATCGTACTAGCATTCCAAAGTCAATCGGAATGAAGCGGAAACCATCATTTTCTCCATTTTTCCAATCATTGACGTTCGACTTTCTTTGCTCTGTGTTTTTCTGCCGGCTTTTAAGTGTCTCTGCAGTAGTTGATCTTTCGGGGTGTCAATATCATGTAATTTATGTGGTGATCTAAATAATCACTTTTCCGAAGAGGTTTGTTTTTTCGGCTTTCATTACAATTAATACTCAGGTCAGTGTGTTCCTCCCGGAGAGTTTACGTGTTTTACATTACAGAACTTTAATACATCTTGTTTTGAGTATTTTCTTGTAGATATCAAACATAAGCGCGATTGTTTTTCCCCTATGATCAATGTTGCTGCCACATGAGATTTTCTAACTGTCCGCATGCATATTTCTAAGTGCTGCTTATCAAAGACCTCGAAAGCAAACGACGTCCTGTCTGCTATTTCTCTTTATATTGTGAACAAACCCCTCCGTTAGAGTCGAACAAATACTGAGTGTTCAGTTGTGGGTCCCAGATATAAATTCTGAAGGTTTGAAAGACCCAATGATCTAACAAACTTAGACCAAGTCAGAGATGCTGTGCATCACTTGAAGAAGGTTGGTTATTGAAAATATATCAACCAACATTTTTACATGGACTGGACACAGCACGTGTCACATGAAGGCAAGTTAAACGACGAAGGTTCAGAGAGCCGCTATCATTATGGGTTGGTTCGTTGTTTAGTCCGTAGGAGGAAGCCGGAAAATCCCGGTCGTGGAGTGAACCCGTAAGTAATAATTGTTTACTTCTTCATATATAAAGGTTTGCCGGTTTTCAAGTCATGTTTCGCTCGATGTGTGAGATATATCATCGTAGATGATCTGTGTTGGATGGTTGGGGTCTACATAAGTTAGACGAGAATAATGTGAACAATAGCTAACTTCGAAGTCACACCTCATGGCTAGTACCTATCGTGGACTACGCGTTCGTCGTGTTCAGGTACTATGACTACTTTGATGGTTTATAAGACAAACGATGTTATTACAGAAATGTGTCAGCACGAGTGGGTTCAAGAAACGGAGTGCGTACACCACCTCATGAACCAGTCCATCGCATTCAGTTAACTGACCCACGTTGGTTGTCCATGACAACGATGAAATCGGTGACCTGTTCAACATCCAGTGACATAACTGATGGGTAAATTGGTTGGGTCCCATTGACTTTTCACTGGCGCTACAATGTTATCTGGTACACAATAGCTTCATATATATTGTTTCACAAACATTCTCGCAACATAAAGTATTTAACAAAATTTTCAGTTGTCAGTTGTTTGTCAAGATTTGTCCGCACTTAACATTGCACTTACTCAGGAAGTTTGCGTTTGGTGAGGCAAACAGGCATTTCAGGTTTAGTGTTATGCGAAACAACCTTTAGAATTCGTCCTTCTTCATTTCAAATTATATTTTTTGGGTGAAGTCCATACAATTTCATGGGTTACTAGGTCCTGTAACTGGAGATTTTGATAAAATCAAACTTAACATTATTCAAGCTCATATTTTTCTTTTAAACCGACACGAAACTGCCAAGATAATATTCTTATACCATACTTTAGGCAGTCAATGAAAACAATTCACATAATCTTCATCTGCTGTATATCATCCCTTTGCTCCGATTTTTTAACTGGAATGTGTTCTACTTATGAAAAATAAGAGCACTATATTATATTCAGAAAATAAATATTTGCTACAAAGATGGTGGCCTTTGCACTCTTATTAGAACTGCCGTCGTATGTTCACTGACAAACTAAGCGAAGGCGTGGACAGGTTCTCTCAGCCGATATAATATGACTTGCCGTCAACACCTCTAAGTTGCAAACTGGGTAGTGGGCCTCAGCGTAACAGGCCTTTTTACACGCTGACTAACAGAAACGACCTGATAACTGATCACTCCAACCACCCATTAAAGCCTAAAACCATTACTAAGAGTGGTTTTATCAGGCTTTTCACCTCACACCCTATCTACATTCCCCAGGATCAGAATTGTAATTACTCTCAGAAAGGAAAAATTTTGGAATACGACCCCTAGTGACACCTCTGTTGAAGCATATAGCCCGTCATTTCAAACCACATTCAAAACACAAACTTGCTTCCCCCGTACAGTTTCTATCAGAGAGTTTGTAGTGGCATTGAACAATAACCGTACAATCCACAAAGCTGTGAACACGAGACTACTCAGAAAATAGATATTCAATATTTAACGCGGATAAATACCTAACGATGGAGAAGGCGCGAAGAATGAATTGAATGGACTGGAGTTGATCGAGTGGCATGGCTCGGCCATGCAGGCGTGGTCTCTGCCGAATGTTACCTTATATCATCTATTCATATTAAATATATTGTTCTTTCCCTAGCCTAACCTTGTTCTACATCATGTATTGGTAATTGATACGATACAGTGAGTTGGTGTAGTCGATGGTGTGACTTCCACGTAAGATCTTATAGATTAGGCAGTTATATCATGACGAATCTACAATTTTGGGATTAGGTCTATTATTAGAGCAGTACTAATATAATGGTAGACCATAATTCTACATTGGTGAGCCCAACTAAAGAAACGCAACCTATTATTATTAATCCTTATATCCACTTAAACTTTCTCGATCGATTTTATATTTATGTTAACCCTGTATTCTAATAGTCCTCTGATTAATGCTCACATGCATTATCGTAATGTTATATTGATTAGTCCTCATGACAAACTAGCTCAATCGATAATAAAAACTGGTCGTCTATATTAACTAATTAGCTTTGATGGTTTGTTAACAAGCTGTAATAGCATTTACATGCTTCAGCGACATAGTCTTGTTTAAACATCAAGCTCTAGCAAATGTGACCTGTAAATAGCGTAAATATACATTGACTAACAATGCAATCAAGGACTAAATAGTTATCTGGATCTAATTCTCAGTGTTCCTTCACTTAACACCTCATCCTGTTTTAAACTATGCACTATCCTGTAATATCTTTTCTTCCGACCACTGCCTGCGTAATTTCATATTCTCGAGTTCCATTGCCAAACAACGAGGATGACTTCTCTAAAAACATACGGTGGGTTTCAGCCATAAGTTTTCTGCAATCATAAGGTCATTTTAGATGGCTCGTTCAATGGTGACCGCACAATTATCTGAATTCATCCGGTTGTTCTGATCCGAGCGAGTGGCGAAAACGTCAACAGCATCAAGCACCCTGGAATTAATCGCCATACTGGATGTTTTATTCTGGATACTTTTGGATCATTACTACTCCTCACGAATGGCGTTATATATGTCGTCCACTGAATAATATAATCGAAAATAACCCAGGCGAGTTCAACTATTTTACTTAGTGATGTTTTTTTGTACTTAACATGTATATGTTTTTCAGTTGCTTTTGCCATATATTTGTAAGTGTCACTAAGCTAAATGCAGTAACTTCTTATGGAAGGTTTATAACGCATCATATTCCTGCCTGAAGTTTCACAAGCAGTCTTAACTTTAAAATTATTTTCTGGTCATGTTCATTATTTTTAAATTGTCATATACGTCAACAACCTGCATGTTAACCTGGCCCGTACATACGTTTTACTATATCTTCATATCTTTTGAATTTAGAAATCATCTGAATCGCCTTTAACATTTATCAATAAACCCATCATAGTCGTTGTTGCTAATCGTATTTGGGTTTATGGATTGGTGTATCATATTAGCAGCCTAAAATGCGAACATAGTTTAGATAATAAGATTAAAAATTTAGGTACTATCAACTGCACTAGTAAAATAACTAAATCCCTAGGTAGCTGTTGGCTAAACAAACGTTTAAAATCAAAACTCTGTAGCCTACTAGAATTAACACTAAACGAATCTTTCTGAATTAAAATTTATAATTAAATTAGGCGTCTCGGATTCGTTAACGTTACAAATTTCTGATAATCTCGAATCACAACAATACCTATTTTTCCACTGACTAATCCTCATTCAACACTATAACTAGTTAAACGTAATAGTTTCAGGATATCGTCATAAAGCATTGTCATGACTTGACAATCACGTAATATGATTTATAAAATTAATGAAACTATTAACAAAATCGGTCAGCAAATTGACTTATAATTATCACTAGTGTTGTTTTTCTTTTATCTTCATTCACTACAGATGATTACAGTATGTTTCTCTATCAGTTGCTTATTCAGTAAATATCTCAAAACCTTGTCAGTCTAATTGGAGGTTTAGCGACACAATCTTGCATGCAAATAATCAGTATAAGCAGTCGAGCAAATCTCCTGCAAACTGAAAACATCAATGTCGAATTTACCCCAACACTGACTAAGGTTCAAGCCATTATCATAGACATGAGTTGGTAGTGTACTCCCCTTGGTTACAACTTATGTTCTCCCTGATAATCACATGAGCATCAATCACTATTAATCATCTTGTAAAAACTTATTTGGCTAAATACATCTTGCAGCACCACATCACTTCGTAATATGACACATAGGCTTAACTGATTTTAATAACTTATAACCACTATATCTCAAATCGTATTCCGCCTTATAATAAACTGCATACTTGCAACTAACTTGTATGCCCAATCAGCCGGCAAGTGTAAATACAAATAAATAGTCTGCCACAGATCAGAACATTGAGTCTAGAGCATGTCTCTTACGAACACACTCATGTTCAATGATTTGTTCCTAGCTATCTGTCCAAAATTCATATAATTATCACTAACGTATTTAAATTTTGTTTTGATCACCATTCATGTGTATTAGTAGTATTACTAAATTCTATCACGGTCAAGTAAAAATGAGGTTG